AAATTTTAGATCATAGGACGAATTTCAGAAAAAGAACCACTTCGGAAATAATTCACATAACAGAACAAAAAGAAACGGCATAAATTTAAGATTGCCCATATCGCATTATCATTTCTTCTATTGACAGTTCATTATATAATTTAGCGACTTTTCTGCATGAGGTGATCATCAAGAGCAGGGCCGGAGACTTTGTATTTGAGTGGGTGTTGAGCTCTTGGAATTTTGAACCTAATCTAACCTAACCCTAAACTAACCTAAAATACACGTGAAATTGCCGCGTCAAGGGCTTTCTGCCATATTGGATTTGAGTCTAGCTAGTTAAGCTGCTCGCACACAGGTGTCAGTCGGGGCGATCGGACGATGGAGAAGAAATCTTTCCGAAGCGCGGATTGGCTCACAATATTCGGCGATAGGCCTATTTGAAAATTCTCTAATTGTCGCGAAAATACTCAGAACATTGATAGCGTTTTCCACTGGCGCACTGAGTGCCAAAAGTTTCGTGTTCCACTGGTAATTTCATCGTCAAACACGTTAAAAGTGTAATTTGGAGTTATGTCTAAAATAAACAAATTAAATAAATTAGTATTTTGCTACCTAAAATAACAATATTTTTTTAAAATTCAGTTTGAATCGCGTACCGTCACTTTCCCATCGTTCGATTTGACGAATTTGATTTGAAGAATTTGAAATTTGACACTCAGTGCCCACTCAGTGCGCCAGTGGAAAACGCTATGAGTATTGAAAAGAATACATGTATACTTAATAAAATCTCCTACATAATTCATTACATTTTGTCACCTTAATAGGGTGTTGAAAACAACACTCTATAACCGACTGGATGTTGAGTTCTCAACACTCTCAACACAATAGTCGCCGGCCCTGATCAAGAGTGTACTCCAAGTTTCGTCACTAACAGCTTTGAGCTTATCAAAAAACTCAAAGATATTAAAATAGGATACTATGAGTTGTTGGACGGATCTTATTTTAACATACTTGATCCTTTCCAAAATGTCTGACAATCAATAGCTGTTTTATTATATTAGATGTTAAACTTAATTCTTGCCGCTTGCTACTAGAGGGTGCTGGCTCCAACGCTGGCGAGTTTCGACGATGAAGTCATATGTTTTTTGTAGTTTAGACATCGTTGAAAGTGATTCAATCCTCACAGGTTAAATTTCTCGACGCCAAAGAGATTTTCCAATCGATTGAAAATGAATCGCGATAAGTTGTTTTTCCGACATGTGCTTCTTCGCTACTTCGACCTCAAGAAAACCGCAGCTGAAGCGCATCGCTTATTATCCAAAGTGTATGGTGAACCTCCATCGGAAAGAACATGTAGAGTTTGGTTTGAACGCTTCCGAAACGGTGATTTTGATGTGAGAGACAAAGAACGTCCAGGACAGCTGAAAAAATTTGAAGATGTCGAGATGCATGAATTGCTTGATGAGAATTCAGCTCAAACGCTTTTAGAGTTGTCGAAACAGTTAAATGTTACTTCAAAGGCCGATTGAGTGACGAATTGATGCAAAAAAGATCCATAGCCAACAATCGACGCAAAGTCATTTTGTTGCATGATAACACTCGAACGCATGTCGCGAAAAGCGTGAAGCAGGCACTTCTAGAGCTTGA